AGTGGCCAAGAGCAGGGGGTAGAAACACCGAGAGGGTGTGGGAATTGGTGGGAAAGGACCTTAGGATGAGGACAGGTTGCAGTTGGGAGGGGAAGTGTTGCTGGTGAGCCAGGCCGGGTGTCGGATCACGACATAGCTGGATAGGCCAGGTAGTCCTTGGGGCAACCTGGCACAGGTGGACAAGCACCCTTAGATTGCATCAGTTGCTGCAGGGTCCAAGGGCTTGCAGCTTCGCCTCTCACAGACAGCCAACTCTTTGTCGATTAAACTTGAAACAACCACCTTAGAGGTGGTTGGTGAGTAGAAAAATGTCTCTAATACGATGCCCATTGCATACATGAAGATACTCACACCATTTGCGGTCCAGCAACCTAGAATCATAATTCTTGCAAGATGTATAATTCATACACCACACTTGGAGTAACTTGTGCTATCGAACCTCTGTTCCACCACTTATAGTATCCAGCGGGGATACCATGTTCTACATATATACACTCCTACTCATCGCTGGTTTCATGGACCATGGCATGGCCACTGGGAAGACCATGGTGCCATCCTCTACAAATAGGTGGTGCCCCTCCACTTCCATGTGAGCGACTCCAAACACACCTGTTCATATGTTCATGTGATGTGTGGTGGGCTTGTCATACGACAGACGCCTGCGGTGGTGGTACCGCCGCGGTACCGAGGCTCGTGCGGCTGGGCGGACTGGCACCTTCGGTGCACGACGCGCGGCTCCAGCGCTTGGCGCGCGAGGCGCCGCGGAGACGGTGGACACCGCGCTCACGCGGTTTGGGGGAGATCCAAGGGGTGTTTGACACACCAAGACTGAGACGATCAATGTGATGGAGTTGTTTTTTTGGGGGGGTTGGATGTTTGTCAGGTGTTTGAATCTTTGAGTTTAGTTCTTCGATTGACATTTGGTTTGTAATCTTCTTTCGGGCCTGTTGTTTTGGAAAGGAGATTGGTCTGCAGTGGGTATCAGACGGGGAGGTCAGACTCAGACCCAGATGCTTATCAATGGGCATGCAAGGTTTTCTCCGACAGCATGCAATATAGACCCCTTTGCCCTCCTTCCATGCCCCAAGAAGAAACAAGACACACTTTGATCCCTTTTATGGAGTGATACTTGTTAAGCAAGAGTTCTACAATGTTCTACAGCACTAGCATTTTTGAGACGTGAAGACCTCGCTCTTCCAGCACCGTTTAGTTTCTTCGATCTTTTCCGGTCTTCAAGCGTCGACTCCCCTTGCCATCCTTTGGATCTGGGTTCATTCTACAGGGCTTTGAGGCTCTTCGCAGTTTGCGGCGGCATCAGAGGTGACTTGGACCCCACTTTAGGAGGTGGCTCCCACCAACGACATGCGACAAGCAGTGACTGCGATGACTTTTTGTTGACTTGTTGGTTTGCACGACTTTTATGCGCTCATTTCGTAGTGTTGGAGTGCGGACAAAATTTGGCACAAGCTCTTGAGAGCCATTTGGCAAAGAACTCCAATCTATCCTATATTTTCCCCTACATTGTGGTGGTTTCAGGGGTCAGTGTATGCATACCGTAGATGGAGCGACTGGGTTTGGCAGCAAAGCTGTTGGTTTCAGTGGACCCCAATCAGCTACGGTACAGAGCTTGGTGCAAGGAACTACATAAGCAGCTGCTACATTTCCCATGTTTCATGTATTCAATCACCTGACGCATTCACAACAGCTCTGGTTCTATCAGGCTTTTCAACACATGTGCTGTTCACCATCTAAGACAAGAATATCTAAGACATGGAATCCCATAAAGATCCATGAGAAGCTCTTTCTCGCACCCCAACGGGGACTCACATGCGGTGGTCACCAGGTCCTGTCTGGCCGCCATGACTTGTCCTTGAGCGCCCTAGTGGACGCCACGAAGGCCCGGCACCGGGCCTTGGTCTCAAAAGAGGGAGACCTCCGGTTCGGTCAAGGGAAATAGACCAGTCTAAACCCAGGTGTCAGGGGGTCTCCCTATTCACACCCAGATGAAAGGTTGGGCATGACGACGACCAGGTGAAGACCATGTGGACAGCCTGGAGGTACTTTTTTTTGGTTCAAAGAGCCGGTGGGTGAGAATAGGTCCATTGATTGATTGCTATCAAGAGAGAACGCCTTCTATTTGTTGCTCCGAATCCAAGAGCAGAAAGCAGAAGCCAGTTATGTTTTTAGAGGTCTTTTGTGGCTCGTCCCCCTGAAACCTACTGAATCTCAGTCAATGTGCTGATTCGATCCTGGTCGATCTATGGCTTTTTGGCCGGGAAACCCAGGGAAACCTATAGTCTTACAATTCCACACGCCTGGCCCTGGCCATGATTGGCACGTGGCAGTTGAATTTGAGCTTCTTCACCATGGAGAATGCCTTTTCTTGGTGATGTTTCGCATCTTTCATGTCATTTCCCAGACATACATCTAAAGGAACCTGGCATATCTGGAGGTCCAACCCCCATCAGTCGGCAGAGCTTCCCTCTCCATCTTCCCGCGCCCGCGTCCGTGCCGTCGGCCTCAGGCATTGCATGAGCTCGGTCTCCGCCAGGCCGGCGTCGAGTCGTCTTCCGGAGGCTGGCAGGTTTGGAGGCGCGAAAAGGCGAATGAAGCAAGGGGAACCACAGATCACCACAGGCCGAATTGGATACCATGCAATACACATCAATACACTTATGCTTCTTTACTGCTTTAACTCTGTGAAACCTCATTTGGGATATTTGGGGAACTGTGTTTACACCTCCCTTTATTAATTTTTCGGTAGGTCAAGTGGCTGTGGGTGCTCCAGTTTGGTCACATGTCCCTTGGCTCTGTGGGGGTAAGAATGGACTCATGGTTGAAGCCTGCTTTGCTGGCCTTGATGTTTTCGGTATATACTGTACAATTACTTGGCTTTTATGTCTACGGTAATCTAGCTTGGCTTACGTAGAAGAATGCTTTCTATCACCGGTAGACCGCAGAAATGGCAACTCCAACATGTATTTGGAGCTCAACCACGGGCCGGCCGTGGTGCTCGCAGTTCCAGGAGTTGGGACCTTTGGTGTCCATGGCCACTGAAAGTGCCGACTTCTTGTCAGGCACGAGGATACACGGGGAGGCGGTGCACACGTCTTGTATTCTGAACCTCCGGGGTTTCACGCACAGCTTCGTGGGGCACAAAGGCCTCAGCTTGGGCCTCCTGGTCGATTTGGACAGAGGCTTTGAGGTTGGGCACCCTTGTTGCTCCGGTCGTAAGCATACATATCTATGACAAGTTGGGCTGCTAGAGAGGGGTGACAAAGACAAACGAACAAACTTGGTCGTTCATCGATTCATCATCTCTATTAGGACAGGACACTCCAGGTCCACAAACCATGTCAGAGTCAAAGAATCTCGCGGCCCACAACATCCTGAACTATGGGCCTAACAATGGAAAGGAACACTCATTAAAGAATAGGAGACTGGTTGGATGTGGTTATTCTGCTAGACTTTTAACATCCATTGGCAGACTTTAGGAACAAAGGGACATTCTTTGGTCGGAATCCAAGTTGCACGCATTTTTTTCACAATCTGATCCGGATTCCACGTGTTGCAAATCGTAGTAATTTGTATCTGGAGAAAGGATTTTTCAGGCACTTCATGAAAGTGGCTCAACTGGTTGACCCGGGCTGGGTCGGCATCTTCCACTCCAGACAGATCGCGTCGTGTCGCATCAATCGCATGTTCCGTCGCAACCTGCGCTGCAGCGTTTCCGCAACACTCTGCTGCAGTTTCCGTCACGGTCGGCAACCAGCTGTGCCAGCTGCGCTGTTTAGGCGACGTGGTGCTCTCCTTTGCCAGGAACCAAACACGAGGGGGGCGGGGGGAACAGCTACCGAGACTAAGGACTCTCCATAAGTGTCCACTATATAGGCACCATAACACCATACAATACCTAGAAGACACATGAAGACACACGATTTATTTATATAACACCATTGTATAATACCTAGAACCCAGACATGACACCTGTTTTGATAAGAAGTTGGACCATCTTTTGGGTCGTTGGTGGTTGAACATAGTCTGTCACTCAGGTTCTAGGTATATAATATATATATAATATATATCTATGGAGGAGACTCCTGAAAAATGCCCTGACTCGCGGATCCAGGTGCTGAACACCAGTCACCCTGCTTAGCAGGAAGAAACACTTCGATTCATCAGCTAGAAATCCTACGTTCTTTCTAACAGTGGGAGCTCTCAAGGCACTGGGACCCGAGTGACGTGGTACCGGGTACCGGGTACACGAGCACAAAAGCTCCGCAAGCGAGCACAAACGCGTGCTGAAAACGCTCTGTAAGACCCAGTTGGATTCCATGCTTGGAGTGTTTGAGACCGAGATGTGACAGATCATCCCTTGGGCGGCCCTTTCTCGGAAGGTGCGGGATGCTCAGTTTCCCATGACCCACTATTGTACTGGAAAGGAAGCTTCCTTTCTAGATGTACAGGAGTTCATTTTGTTTATTAAGGGTACATGACATAAAACACGATCCAGAATCTATCATTCGGCAATGCCCAGTTTTTTTGATGCTTGCTTTAGCCGCTGGTTTAGTAGATAGGATTCCGATCCCTTTCTACCTAGAAAACAACCAGATCAACTAGTACAAATAGCCAACCCAAACTGTACATATGTTACATTGGTGTGGTTGAAAGGGGGTGAACGTATATTAGGTAACGGTGCCAGTCCCAGACATGATTCTCGGTGTTTGACACGGTCTGTTCAGGTCATCTAGAGCAATCACAGCTCTTCGACTTTGCAAGTCATGAGTGGTTAGAGTTTCCGCTAGGTGTGCGACCGCCCGCCTTGGCGCCCGCTTCCCCTAGCTTTTAAAGCTCAGTGAGACATATGACGACAAGCACGTCCCAAGTGAAAGGACCATAGAGGTACTAGCTATATGAAGCTTCAACTAGCCTCACAACCATCTCGAATTTGATCTCCCAATGTATGCCATCCCAGCTCAATGCTGAGACTTCTGAATCACGGCCTTTTTTGCCTTGTTCATCGAAAGCGAGATTGGTACGCGGCTCGTGTGGCACAATGCTGATGGTCTCGTGGTTGGCGCTTTTCCCACTGGCATGGGCTTCTTTGTCGAAGTACAAGATGTACCAGGCCTGGCTGTGGCAGAAATTGCAATCCTCAGGAACAAGGGTTTTGGGTCCATCCAGAAATGGTTTTGGAGACTGTGCCTGTATACTTGGATGTTCTTTCAGGGACTTTGGCAAAACCACAATTCAGGACTTTGGGTGTAAAGTGTAAAGTTCCTTGCGATGTCTTGCACACAAGAGCTTGTTCTTGAGAGTCCAGGTCAGGTGAGATTTCAGTTTGGATGAGATTCGGCATGTTTCGGCAGTTCTGTGAGTCCCAGAATCAAGGGAAGATCTACAGGAAACATCAGGAAACCCGTTTTGAGTGTGAACACCATGGGGTTTCACCAGTCTTTTTCTTTTCCCTTCAAGCAAACACATGACTGCAATTCTGTCCCCGGGTCCATGGGCTGCGCCGAGTCAGTCCAAAAACGGGTGCGCGGGTCCCAAAGCTCAAACGAGATCTGGATCGAGGGTGGTCAGGTCTCGGGGTACTGAGCTAGTTGGAGTGGAAGGTTCCGACCTGGCTGGTTTCTTAGACATATACAATCGATGGCCTTCGTCCAGAAGTCGACACAGCCTCTTCATCTAGGAAAAGATCATGTACTTTCTTACGCAATGACTTCATTTATGGTTTGTCTTTATAGTACTTTGGTTAAGTTTGCCCGCACAACGCGGCTGGCCACGCCGCACGACGCTTCCTCCCTGAGAGTGAAAAAATATGGTTTGTCACTCGGGTGACTAGTGACTAGTCATTCGCGCCCTCCAGGATCCCTCCTGCTGCCGTTTTTCTGAGCTCTTCCATACGGCCGACTGGGAGGAGAGCATTTCAACGGAAGGTGAGGAACAAGAGGTCTTGAATATTTGCTGAGTTGTTCTTTCAGTTCTGTTCACCTGGCATTTGGATCGGCAAAGCAAAGTCTCGAAAGAACCATGACAGCAGAAAATCGCCACGAAAGACGATAAAGTTCAGCCATTTTTCCACAGATTGCACAGTGTCTTCTGAACAGAAGCAGCTCTATAGCGGCCAAAAAGCATGTGGGAATTCCCAAAGAAGTCATGTCGCTGTGTGGAACGTTCCATTGCGCATATATGAAGCTCACTCCCACCCTACTAATGATTTGGTATAGGAATGTAACGAACTCAGTGCCTCATCGGGCTAGGCTTCACAGATAGTCCCATGGACCTCAATAGAACCGCTCCGCTGGGCGCTCGCAGGACACCGAGACTCAGAAGCTCTTCATCTCCCGCGCCTTAACCGCCGAGCGGCGCTTTTTTGCCCAGCCGGGCGTGAGCTTCGACCCCGACACGGGCATGACCTACGACGGGCACGCGTTGGATGCAGAGACGGGTCCCTTTGGCGGCATGTCGGTAGGGCGGGATGGAGGTGGTTGTGTGGCTTGCACGAATTCTTGAGAACCTTTGCACTTGTGCACTATATAACTACCTAGAACCTGAATGACACCTATTCCAACCACCCAAAATATGGCCTTTTCCTATCAAAACACGGGTCAGTTGGGTTCCAGGTATATAGATCATGATGCAGGTTTGAAGGCAGGAGTTCTGCCTGATGAAATATCGACCCTTACCAGCCTTACCCATAGATCGTGTGGGATGGTCCTGGCTCCACCCCACCACGCAAGGCAGCTCGTGAGACTCCACCAAAGTGTCAAAAGAGCTCAAAGCACATCAGAACACGGCGATAAATTACTATAGCAGCAGCATAAACAAAACCAGATACTTGCAGGTGACCATGGAAAACCAGTTGCGCACCCTTGGAAACATGTCATGACATGCATTCACTAACAACAACAAGAAGAAGAAGAAGAACAACAACACCAACACCAACACCAACACCAACACCAACACCAACACCAACA